TTATTAAGTGCATTACTATCATTAGTATATAAAAATTAGAGTTAAATCTCTTCAACAATCGATAGCAAGAAAAAAGATGATTGTTCAAGTATTATATTTCTTGTTTTTTCATGTTTATGCTTAATGTAACTAAAATGTAAAAATAGGGATCTTTTTAGGTTAGTTAAGATTAGATTAGGTAAAGTAACTAATAATAATATTATTATAATAAAAATGTTTCACGAGGTACACACACAACCAGCTCGTGGTAATGGAATTCGTTAGCGTAAAGTGAGCTGCACATTCCCAGAGTGATTTACAACTTACAATGGCACGGATGGTAGTTAGACACGGTTCAAAGGGCAATAAAACAATAAAATTTAGTTATAAATAAATGTATACTGTTACGAACGTAGAGCTACTTAAGATGAAAGAATGTAGTTACAATTTGAATTCTAGAAAGAAAAAAAAGAGTAATTTAGGTTAATTCCTTTTTGTTGTTGGTTATGAGGTTGGTCGATTCAACTGATCCCATTTTGAGATAGGGTAGAGAGAATAACACAAACTATAAAGTTTTAATGAAAAAAAAAATGTTTGAAATGCATTTAGGAGGTTTTAGGGATTACAGAAAGGAAATTTGAGATTTTAAGATGATGAAAAGTATCTTTAATTTTAACATGAAAATTACTTTGCACTCAGACTATTCAAAACAAATACTCAATATGTTAATGGACAAATATTTATTTTATTAAAAATACTTCACTAAAAACTATGATTTTTTGTATTTTATGAAGATATACACACACACTATATTGAAAGTTAGAAGTATTAAATCTATAAAGATTTTAAACAATTACAAAGAGGTCACGTGGTAGGTCAAATTAAACAAGCCCATGTTGAGAGAGTTAAAAAGAAAGATGGTACAGGAAACAAGTGGCCAAAAGTTGAAATGGAAGACATATGTGAGAGTCTTATGAACTAAACAGAAGTTCCAGTACCAAGAGGAATTGAATGAGGAAAATGATTGATTAGAAAGGCTTCATAAGAACTAGACAAAAAAAAAAGAAAAGGAGTATGTATAGGTCATTGACATAGTTCAACTATAACTTTCGACCATAGAAATGGATAAGCCACCCTCCAAGGCAAAAAAGGAAGTGAGATAAAGAACAGCCAAAAAACCATAAATGATATACTTGCAACGATAAATGTTATGAGTGGATAGCCAATAAGAATGAGCAAGAAAACAGGATACTCTATGAGTAAAACCTTCCTGCCTTGCAAGTAACCAGATAAAAGCCACATGAGGATGAAGCTGTGGAACATAATAGTAAAAGATAAGACATCTAAGGCAGACAGAAGGGATTTCCAAAATGGAAGAGATAGAGGCCTAGGATTGCTAAGAGGCAAATAACTTAAAATCATGATAGAAGCAGCCAAAAAGAGGCAATAAGGGAATATTATCAGAACCATTGAGTCTGGAACTGGTGACTCAAAAGTAAAAGTTTGGTGTAAAGAGAAGTCAATGTATTAATAAGACAGGACTCCTAAAGTGGGAACAAATGCACAGAAACACCAAACAAACAGAAATGTCACTTTGTCGGAAGGATTTTGTCCAAATGAGATATTCAATACACCACAAAATTGAAGGCTCTCAGAAAGTCAACAGGATGTTATCATGAGTCCAGATGTGGAAATTGAAAACAAAAAAGCAAAGATCCCAAGAATAGGTGCCCCCCTGTTAGTTGATGTAAGAAATGACAGTGAAGTTGAAGAAATGAAGCAAAACAGACTGTCTACACAGTTGAAACAAAAGATGGTGGTAAGTCCATTGAATAGCCCACATCCAAATCTAAGGACAATGATGTGGAAAGACTGCTCCACACCACATTTAGCTGGAGAGGCATCTCTGAACAGGTATAAGTGTACGTGGGATGGAGGAAGATGGATGCTCAGTCATGTGGAAACATTTAAGCCACCACAACAGTGAGAGGTAAAGAAATGTGAGAAGATGGCAAGTTACAGGATATAATTCACTGATCTGCCAGAATCCACTGAAAGTGACACAAGTGAAGTGAGACCCCAAAAGAGACAGAACCTCATAAGTAGGAAGAAAGGGAGACATGAAAGCCTTGGAAACCAGAAGCTCCATATCTCAGAAATGCAAAGGTGAAGGATGAACTCACTCAGCAACCAGGTTGATAAAGACTCCGAAATAAATGAAATATTAAATACTGACTTAAGAGCCTGACCAGTCATATCAATTGAGCAGACTCTTAAAGGACAAGGCCAAATGTTCATATAGTGGTGTAAATTCAGACCCAACAAGTGCATTCTCCATACAAGAGCCCTCAGGAATAAGTTGAAAACAAACAGGTGTAAACCCTGAATGAAAAAGCTCTCAAGAGAAAATTGGTGGGACCCAAATGTCTTTTGCAAAGTGAGTTCACACATGGACAAAGTGTAAGAGTCAAGCTCCAACAGGACCAAAGCTGAGGGATGGTTCCAAAAATAAACAATCACCAAACCCAATGATGGCTGGCCTCTCCATTGAAAGGACACCAGGAATAGGCCACAGGATGAGGAACTCCTAAAAAAATGTCTGCATGATGAAAGGATGTTGAATGGAGTTCCTCAATATAAAACTGAGGAAATAAGGTTTCATGATGAAACAAATGAAATGGTCAACAGCTGAAGAAGAAATTGGACAGCATGAATAACACGATAGTGTGACCTTCCACAGTTAAGCTGTTAGAGAAGTGATGCAGAGCCTCAGAAGGAAGGCATAAGGAGAACAGCAAGTTAAGAAAGTGAATAAATAAAAGATGAAGACAAACAGATTGAGTAAAAAAAAAAAGAAAGAATCAAAGCAAGAAAATCTTCAAGCTGAAAAAAAAGAGATTAAAGAGACACTAGAAAAGAGGAAAAACTCCAATCATAAGCCATGGAGAAGAAGTTTAAATTTAAGAAGGAAGTGGCAACTGAGATTCAACACAAAGCATAGACTTAAAGAGTCTGTAACAATTCAACAATCAGATGAGGGAAGACAGAGGGGGGGGGGAGAATCTTATGAATAGAGGTGCATGCGAGGGAGCTTGTCTACGAACTAGTAGAAACAACTGGAGTAAACAGCTTTATTATTATTAATGTATGTTAATGAACTTGGCATAAAATCTTAGTTTATAATTCAAATTTTTATATTATATACATTTTAATTTCTTAATTTCAAAAAGAAATATTTAAGGAATTCTTACTTCAGAATTTTCTAACTTCTAAAGTCAGTTGCTGCAATTTCCAAATTATTACAAATTGTACATAATTACAAGCAAGAGACTAAAATCTGAACATCCTACCTTCTTTATTTGTTAAGATATCAATAAATTTGTCAAACCCATAAGAAAAACCCCTTTCTTTTCTCTCCAACTTTCAAGATTGCTTGCTAATCAATTTTTACATGGGTGATGGGCATAATTATAATATACTGAAAGAGCAGATTTTCCTCTATACCAAGCTTAAAACTGTCATATGGAATTTGGACTGGAGAGTATTCTCCAAATAAAAATGTTTATGTGTGGATATGAGAAACTGTATTCAATAAGATTCACGATACTGAATTCATGAAGAGCATTATTATTTTTCATAGTACATCTGATATGCTCATACTACTCAGATTCATCATTGAAACCCAAACACTGGATCAATGATGGGGAATATTCCTGTCAAAGAAACCATATCACAGACTCTGAAGCAAGTGTCCCAAAATCTTCTAGTCTAATTAAGAGTAGACATTAAATTAATGTTAGAAAAGATGATAATTCTTATCAGAATCTCTAACTAAAATTATTTTTAAAAAATCTTTATCTTTCTTAAAATCAAGAAAATAAAGACAGGATTACACTTTGAATGTCAAATAAAAATTGAATATAATAAAAACAAAAATTCTGTAATTCTTGACAAAAAAATAACACACTGAATATTGCAGTGCTGAGGAAAAGAATGAGCTTTGAGTACATACAAAGTGCTTAAGGGGAGTATTGCACATGGAGAAATGTGATGCTCTTCTATTGGTGGTTGCATCACAGACTGGTGCAGTTGATGCTATTACATGTAGAAGTGGGAATTTTGTTCAAATGCTTGACACATGCACAAATCTTTTCAGCAACAATGCAAGATGTACGCTATCTATTTGGGGAGGTGAGTAGCATTATAAACAGATAGAACATCCTACTCTGCAACCAATTGTTTTATTAAGGAAAATCATAAGCTCTTTCAGTGATTTATTATTATCTATAAACTTTTGTAGCTTTCAACATACTTTCTATTTTGGATAAGTTTGCTACTTCCTTGTAAATATTTACAAATGTTTGTAATTTTTTACAAAGTATAATGTTTTCAGTATCATACATCATGATAACATTTCAATATCTGTTTACTTATTACATATACTAAATAAATGTTAATAGCATAAAATATATCAAATGTTTTAGCTATTTTTGCACCTTATGCATAACTAAAATATTATGTGTAATGAAACCCACTGTGAACATTTCTATTTACCTACAGCAAAGAACATAATTTTTTGAAACAAAACTTCAACAGTTATGTATATATATATATATTTATTTATTTATTTAATGATATGATCATTTTATTTACTCAAAATAAAAGGAGTTTCAAACAAGCTTACCTCAAACTCTTCACATATTTTAATTGCTTCTTCATTTCCTTCATTGGCTTTTACAACAAAATCACAGAGTTTGTGAACAATAGCAACAAATGGACCCTGGTCTTCAAGTGGTCTGGAGAGATCCAACTAATGAAATATAATTCAGATCACATCATGACAAAATGGTTGAAATTTAGTGTCAAATAGGTCGTTATACACTACACAATGAATAATGATAATACATGTACATCTTTTACAAATCACCAGTCACTACATCAAGGAAAAAAGGAAAAAATCAACAATGAAACTTTATGTACAAAAAAAAGTATTCAATTTACCATGGTGTACTTTGGTGACAGATTTTCTTGTAGGCAGATTTTGTTAAACAAGACCAATGTCTGCAGGTTTACTTTCTTCTTAG